TACTGGCTAGTGAAAACAGGTAAGGACACAACCACCCATCGCTCCTTGTCTCCAGCCTCACTGCCTGTAGGCAATGTCTTCTCCTCATTGACCTCCCACTGCTTAACCCAAACCCCTCACAGCGTCTCAGTGTCCAATATCCATACAGATGGGAGGGAGCCGGATGCAACAGGGGCTGTTTATAGAGCTGGAAGTTGCTCTTGGTCCTGGAATCACGTTGGGGAGCACCTTCATGTCATCCCAGGACCTTTAAATGCTTTTCAACTCCACTTTACACCCACCTTAAGCTCCCCTTATGCTGATGAGTGTTGATGTAACGCAACACAGATCCATTGGGGTTGAAGGGATCTGGAGCTCATCCAACCCCAGGATGGGATGAGGAGCCCTAGGAAGCGGTTGATGAAAACCCTTTCCTGTTTGGGATGAGGACGAAGCTGCTTCACTTCCAGGGAAGGGCATTAACGTTTCCTTGTGTCCCTTTGCTTCCTGTCCCATCCAGCTGGGGCGTGCGCTTCGGAGACGAGGGCTACATCCGCATGGCAAGGAACCACTCGAACCATTGTGGGATCGCCAGCTATGCCTCCTACCCCCTCATCTAGACACGGCATTCCTGAGGGATCCACCTCAGGATCTACCCCAGGATATCCACCACCCCAGAACTACCGACCTCAAGAACCACTTTGTGCCCCTGTGGGCAGCGATCAGCCTGTTGCAGGCTGGGAGGGAGCCTTTGCATGGGAGGATGCTGGGATGCGATTTATAGGCACTTGGGGACTTCTTTTGGGGGGAAAGTGGGGTTGTTTGGGGGTTTCAGAGTAGAATTGTGGGAGCCACAGCTCAAACAGAGGTCGCCCACAATGGAAACCGTGCTCCCCTCTCTCCAGTTCAGCCCTGGGTACGATGACACTGGAATCACTCCCCCTCTGGGCAATGCTGATGCAATTGCAGACGTTCTTTGAGAAATAAAAGTTCACTTTTGCTGTTCAATACCCACTGTCTGGTCTCTGGAGGCAGGAATGGCTGGAATTCTCACCTGGCTCCCCCACGTAAGGACCCCCCTCCACGAGTGATGCTTCACTCCTAACACTGGGCTTCCTCATCCTCCCGCATTACCCACCAAGTATACCCGGGTCCCTGAGCCAAAGCAACCCCACGAGTGGGTTTGCCTTCACCTGAAGCAGGAATAACCCAGAGCTGTCTTCCGCAGCACATCCCTTCATGTGCACCACAGGGACTTATCCACTCTGCAGTGAGTAAAAGTTCATCCCTGTTGGCGGATCCCCTGGTGTTGACCTGGTTGTTATACCCAGAGTGAGATTAAGACACGAACGAGGCCAAATGCTGCTCATCAAAGAGGTTCGTTGGTCACTTACCTAAACCCAGCAGTTACCTTGCTAAGGAAGCTGCGATGGGGAAGGGAGAAACGGCAAAGGGCTCCCTCTCTCGGGGAGCGGTGCCCGGAGCCCCCCGGTGGCCGTGTCCCGGGAGCGCTGGGCTCGTTCCAACCCCGCAGCACCGATTCCAGCCCCGCAGCACAGACCGGGGCCGGTCCCCGCTCTCGGGCCCGGCTCTTCTGGAGCCCCAAACCGCTGGGGAAGGGGCCGGGGACCGGCTCGGCGGAGGGCGCCAGGCTCCGACCCTCCGGGCTGCGCGCACCGGGACCCATCCGGAACCCATCCCCGGCCCTCACGGCAGCCGCAGCCCCACGGGGCCGGTTGTGGGCAGTGACCCCCGCACGGAGAGGCCCCGAGCAGCAAAGCCGGGGGCAGCTCCAGCCCCGGCACCGACGGAAGCCCCGGGGCTCCCGGCTGCGCTTTTGCGCCGCGCTGGTGCCTCAGAATGGACCCGGTTGTGCGGGCACAGCCTGGAAACGCGTTCCCTGCTCCCAGGGAGGAGCGGGCCCGGCTCCATCCCCTGGGGAGGGCTCAGCCTCGCTCCTCCCTCGCTCCCCATCGCATCACCCGCATCCCCGCAGGCACCGCTCACACAAACACGGGAACCGCTCCGCGGCCCCGCGTCTCCTTGGTCCCACAAAGCAGGGTCCTGGAGCGCCTTGTCCCGACCCGGCGGGCCGGGGCCGGGGCACAGCCCACGGCGGCTCCTTAGGGACGGTGAGCACGGTGCAAGGCTTCCCATGGACAAGCACAGCAGCGAGGAGCAGCCCTGGCACCGGCCCAGCGCCGGGGGGGCTCAATGCACCCCATCAGACCTCGCAGACCCGCGGCTCAGGGCAGTGCTCTCAGGCAGCCCACAAAGCAGCTCGCTAAGTGCAAACATTCAGCCCTGCTCGCAAACCTAAAGCGCCAGGACAAAAACGTGGTGCTGGGCAGCACGGACGCATGGTGACCTCCGGACCAGTGTCACCAACACGGCAATCCAGCCTTGCTTAGCCACATCAAAGTCCATCTGCGTGCTGCCTGCGTCGAATGCATTCTCATGGGTCCCAGAAAACAGTGCCCTAAGTGCAGACATCCAGCCCCTGCTCCTGAACCTGTGCACCAGGTCAGACACTGGTGCTGGGCACCACTTAATGGTGACCGCTGCCTTCAACACAGCAATCAGCCTTGCTTAGCCACCTAAAACTCCACCACCTGTGTGCTGAGCTCAGGATAGCACTCTCAGGCAGCCCACAAACCAAAGGCATTCATGGAAACATCCAGGCCCTGCTCCCACACCCAAAGTGCCAGGACTAAAAACTGGTGCTGAGCATCACCTACACATGGAGAGCTTCAGAATGGTGCCACCAGCATGGAGATCCAGCCTTGCTTTGCCATCTAAACTTCATCTGAGGGCTACCCTGCTGTTGAGTGCACCGGGTGTCTTAGAGCACGAACATCCAGCCCCTGATACAACACCCAAGGTGCCAGGAGAGAAAACTGGTGCTGAGCATCACCTGCTCATAGAAAGCTCTGTAATGGTGCCACCAACGTGGCAATCTGCCCTTGCTTTGCCATGTATAACCCCATCTGTGTACTGCCTCTCTCCTGCCTGCTCTTGGGCCTCCTGCACCACGGCTCACAGAGTGCACAAGTCCAGCCCTTGCTTGCATGCCTGATGTGCCAGGATAGAAACCTGGTGCTGAGCATCACCTACCCATGGAAAGCTTCAGAGCAGTGCCAGTGCCATGGCAATTCACCCCTGCTTTGCCGGGGTGCTTCTCAGCTCTCCTCACACACAAGTCACTGGTTTCACAACAGAGCCCCTCAGCCAGCACCACATCCACTGAAGCTGTGGGGAAAGGTGCTGTGTTTTATAGAACCATGGAATGGTTCGGGTTGAAGGGTCCTTAAAGCTCATTGAAAACCATGGCAGGGACCCCTTCCACTGGAGCAGGATGCCCCAACCCCCTGTGTCCAACCTGGCCTTGAGCACTGCCAGGGATGGGGCAGCCACAGCTTCTCTGGGCACCCTGTGCCAGCGCCTCAGCACCCTCCCAGGGAAGAGCTTCTGCCTAAGAGCTCATCTCAGTCTCCCCTTGGGCAGGTTAAAGCCATTCCCTTTTCCTGTCCCTGCATCCCTTGTCCCAAGCCCCTCTCCAGGTTTCCTGCAGCACTGGGATGAATCCCATGTGCACAATGAAAACTTGAGCTGAAAACCTCCCCTGAGCAGGGATCACCAGCACCAGTTTGGGGCATCCCTGTGACCCCACTTCAGCCGGTGCAGGTGGGAAGGGGATGATGGGAAGGAGGATTTGTGGATGCTACAGCATGTGCTGCAGCCCCAGTACCCTGCTGCTGGCCTCGACCAGGGCAGGTGCCTCAAGCAAAAGACTCAATGAAGGCCTGAATCCCTCCTTTGTTCCGCACCAGCCCAGGGGTGCAGGGAGCGGCAGAGCCCCCATGGCCGTTGGCATCTTCCCACTCCCCATCCCACCGCGAGCACGGAGCACCGGGACCGACGCTACCAGGAACAAAGGGCAATGGCAGCACCCGCTGGGCCCTGACCCAGTTTAACTTCATCTTCAGTAGCCCCCATCCATGGGGAAGCAGATCCAGGGTCACCCCAGGGGATGTCAGCGCGAGCGCGACGGCAGCCACGCAAGGATGCTGCTCCGGCACCGAGCCGATCCCGCATCCCGCTCCAGCGCAGCGATGGGAAGGCAACTTCCCTGGCAGGAAGCGAAGTGCTGCCTCAGCGCTTGCAGGGAGCTGCAAATTATCTCCCTATGCAAAAGCAGGTCATTAGCATGAATTAGAGCTCGGCGGTGGAGCCGTGCTGGGGAGGCAGCAGCCCCCAGGCTCCCGCTGTCGCCTTCAGCTGCTTCTGCTCACCCGAGCATGGGGAACCGGCGTTTGGGGATATAAAGGGAATGAGATGAGGCTCTTGCTTCAGCCACGAGGATGTGACCCCATCCCCAGTGCCCGCACTGGAGGGTTTGCATGCCCTCCATCACGCCTGAGCAGGGGCGCTGCTTCCATCAAAGTGCCCCGTTGCGTTTTCATCCCTTGAAGTTGCCTTTAGGAAGAGCTTTGGAACCGGAGCCCCTCTTCCTCCACCTCCTGCTCCCAGGACCACTCACGTAGGAGCACGGGATAGCTTAGGATGGACCATGGGAAGGGACAGGGCAGGGTCCCCAGTCTGAGCTCGCTGTGGGGCAGCCTGAGCCATGCCTAGTGCAGGGACTGGTGCTGAGGACCACCCCTCCCTGCCCAGCTCACTGCAGCTCTGCAGTGCTCCTCTGCACACCGGCTTCCGATCACTTCTGAGTCACAAACAAGGCATTCCCACTTCCTCTCTGTGCCAAGGTACATCTGGGGCTATAAATAGCTATTAAAGCTAATTAAACAAGCACCACCATTGCCTCATGCAGCTCAGCTTGTATCGACACCTAAAAATGCACTCCTGAGGTGTTTCAGACCTGCCAAGGCCCAAAACCCCACGCGATCACATGCTGGAGCTAAACACACGTACACCACGTCTATCCCCTTCCCCATAACCCCATCAGCCCAATTTCACTTCCATCTCCTCCAAAGACAGGTTCCCATCACCGAGTCTTCCCGTCACAAGAGCCTCCCGAGGCACAGCTGGGGTTTGAACCCTTGTTGGACTGGTTCCATCCCAAGGGAGCTCCTGGCTTTGCTGGGTGGGATCCTGGTGGGTGCTGGGGGTGCTGGGTGCTCCAAGAGGAGCCCATTGGGGAAGGGATGGTCCTGCTGGGGCTCTAGGAGAGGTGGTGGCTGGTAGGAGCTGGGGGGCACGATCTGTGATGGGGGCGTCTGGGGCACCCCGTAACCTGCAAGGACATGGTTGGGTTTAGCCCCCCCCCAGCCCCAAAGAAGTGATGAGCTCAATGCTCATCTTCCCATGTCCGGTGCCCTTTACCTCTGCATAGCAGTGGAATCAAAGCTGGGTCCAGCCTCTTCCTCCTGAGAGATGGAGACTGTGGAGCAGAGCAGAGCATCCATTAGGCAGAGCAGGATGAACCCAGCACCCTGGTGATGGGCTTGGGACAACCTCACCTTCCTGGTGGGCTGGACACTGGAGTAAATGGTTCTGCTTTCGGGCTCCTGAGGGAGACTGGGGCCCTGCAGGGAGGAACCATCCAAATGCACAAAGAACAGCAAAGTTTGGGCAAAAAGGGGTGGACTCTGAGGTGGAGGTGAAGGAATCGAGCCCATGGGCAGCTCGAGCCCCCCCAGCACAGGCCTGGCCCTACCTGTGCTTTGCAGATGACGGCATAGATGGTGTTTTCTCCCGATGTGGCCTCATTCCTTGTTGTGCTCTGAGGGTGAAAGCGACCCAGGCTGGTTAAAGGGATGCCCAAGCAGAGGTCCCGTCCCTCCAGGAGGGGACCCCCAGGCCCCCCCCCCCCCAGCACTCACTTGGTCTCGGCCTGTTTGGGCTGTTCCCACCTCCTCGTAGACGGTGAGTGTCTGCTCGATGTGTCCTGGGGAGGTGGAAGGGGTCAGAGTGAGACACTGGGGGTTACAGACCCCGTTTGGGGGCGGCAGCCCTCAATGGGCAGGAGAAGGATGCTGCAGCTTGGAATGAAGTGCATATCCAGACCCAAACCATCCTCCAGACCCATGGGATGAGGCCTCCGGGTCCGGGCTGCTGGGATGCTTCACCCACGCATCAGCCCAGGGCACCCTCCGTTGTCAGGGATGGGTGAAGGCTTTGTGGCTCTGGCAGCACCCAGTGGCTTATCCCTTAGCCTCAGGAGGAGGAAGAGCCCCGGGGCCAGCACGGAGAGAGCATGAGGAGCATCCAGGACAGCATCCAGGAGCTGCCCGGCCCCACATCTGTCCGTGCCACAAGCACAGGGACAAACCTTCTGGGGGATCCTTTCGGCGTTTCCTCTGCCAGTAGCAGGTGATGACAAGGGCTATGGCGACGGCCAGGACCAGCGCAGCCACTGCCCAGCCTAGAGCGATGCTGGAAAGCCCTGGGGGAGAAGAAGAGGAGAAGGAGAAATCTCTGATGAGCCTCAACCGTTTCTAAACAGTCTCCATCACCGCCGAGGACAGACCCGGCCAGGAAACCGCAGCGCGGGTACATCACCCACAGCCGGTGCCGTGCTTCCACCCCCAGGAGGGGAAGTGGCTTCCTGGCACCAGCGGGATGTGCTCTTGGGACCCAGAGCGGCTCCAAGAGGGGGCTGCGCACCCCTTAACCCCTGACTGCCCGGAGCTGAGGATGAGTTACCGGCGACCGCGGCGCCACAGGCTGCCGAGATGTTGGCGTTGGCCGAGCTCCAGCTCACCGGGTTGCTCACGTTGCAGCAGCACACGATGGGGTCGGCATCCCCGCGGAGCCGCAGGTGCAGCCGGGGCCCAGGCTCCAGCGCGCCCGCCGCATCCCCGCTGCAGGACCAGCTGTAGGAGACGGGGCCGGCGCCGGGCGCCGTGCAGAGCAGCGAGAGGTTGCACCAGCCCCGCGCCTCGGGCAGGACGAGGCTCTCCACATGGGGCGGCCCAAGGGGCTCTGCGGGGATGGACGCGCTCAGAGGGGAGCGGGCACGCGGGGCGCAGCGGCTGAGAGCCGGACACTCACCCCACACCGACACGCGGAAGCACCGCGGGCTGACACCGCCGCCTGCCTGCTCAAACTCGGCCTCGTAGAGCCCCGCGTCTGCCGCGAGAACCGGGCTGATCCGCAGGGAAAGGGGCTCCTCCTGGAAAACTGCTCTCCCGCAGAAAGGGCTCTTGCACACGGTGGTGCCGTTGCTCCTCTCAGCCACCAGGATCACCTGGTAGGACCCTGCGTCCACCCCCGTTCTCCACTTGACTCTTGACCATTCCCCCAGGGGTTTCTTTGGCAGCAGCTCCAGCGCTCCGTTGGCAGGCACGGCTTGCTCCTCACACTGCACGGGTCCTAAAGCAGAGAGGGTTGAGCCCGTCCCCATCCCCACCTCAGGCTTCCCCTTCCTCTGCCCATCCCAGGCTCCTTGTGCCTGCCCGCACCCTGCTCCTGCAGCACCCTTTGCCCTGCCCTCACCAGGGCCGGTTGCACCCCCTCTGACCACGGCATCTGCTCCTTCCTTTGTCCCCCAACTCCTTCCTCGCAGATCCAGCCTGGGAAGCAGCAGGAACGTTGCCTGCTGGACCCTTTCTCTCATGAGTCTCTGTGCTCGCAGCCCCGCATGTCAACAGCTCTGGCATGAGGCAAGGTACAAAAAGCCCCTAAATGAAACGAGCAAACACCCCAGAGCCTTGTGGCTTCCTTCTTGCGGTCAGAGCAGCGCTGGGGCTGCAGCACATACATGGAGCCAAGCATCAGCCGCCAGGGGTTTGGCTTCAGCCCAAACAGCCCTAAGGCGGGGTTTTGGCTCCATGCTCAGGGTGAACACTGCGAGCATGGCCAGGAGACCCCCAGCAGCTCCAGCGTTGCAAAGGCACAGGCAGGAGGATGTCTGCCCCCACCAGCCCCAGGGTGCAGGTGGGACATCCCTGTGCCCACCAGATCCAGGGATACCAGGGGCTGGAGCAGTCAAACACAGAAGCATCCTCCCTGGGGAAAGGAAGGAGCAGGCTCAGGAGCAGCCACTCTTGATCAGTTCCCACCAGGACCTGCAGTTGGTGACAAAGGGGACCCCCCCCCCACCATACCAGGTATTAAGAGCCTCCATGACACCAGGACCATTGCATACTACAACTTTGCAGGCTGCGAGACAGGTGGGAGGGCACCTTCCTGCCCTCAGCCCGTGGTGCTGGAGCAGTGAGCGTGCAGAGCAGGGGAAATGCAGCCCGGAGGTGGGAGTGAGACGCTGCAGGGTCAGTGCTCCACAGGTCTAACCACGCTGTGTGCTTTAACCCTGCTGCGGGCAGGTTCTGCAGCTCAGCTGAGCCCCGGCTGCTGCAGGCTCTGCAGCACCCACCTGGTGCAGCTCTGAGCAGTGGGAGCACCCGGGACTTGAATCCTGGAATGGCTGGGAGGGACCTTAGGGCTCATCCAGCCCCACAGGCAGGGACCCCTTCCACCAGAGCAGGATGCTCCAAGCCCCTGGCCTTGAGCACTGCCAGGGATGGGGCAGCCACAGCTTCTCTGGGCACCCTGTGCCAGCGCCTCAGCACCCTCCCAGAGAAGAGCTTCTGCCTCAAAGCTCATCTCAGTGTCCCCTCGGGCAGGTTCAAGCCATTCCCCTTGTCCAGTCCCTCCATCCCTTGTTCCAAGCCCCTCTCCAGGTTCCCTGGCGCCCCTTTAGGCACTGGAGCTGCATTTCTGGGTACAGGAAAAGCCACGTCTGGGCTCGGGTCATGGGTGCTGCTCCGACAGGGAAGTGACTTCTTTTGGATGAGCCCCAAGTGCAGCTGCGCTGGCTGCGGAGGGAACCGGCTCTGTGTGCTGCGGGCAGGATGGGACACAGGGAGCAGCCCAAACCTTCCCACCCAGACCCCCTCTGTCTCCGCAGGGACCCCGGGCTGAGCGGCACAACCACCGCCGGCACCCATCCCTTGTGCAGGCGGCAGCCAGAGCTCCCCATGCCTGCACCCATCCTGTGCTCAGCGCCACCAGCTCCCCCTGCACCCAAAGCGAGCCCCCACCTCCCACCCAGCCCAGCACCGCGCCCCCTCCTCACCTCGGTCCCCGGCAGTGACCATCGGGGCCAGGACCAGCAGCGCCAGCGCGCACCGGGGACCCCCACCCATGGGCCCGCCGTGTTGGGGCATCTCGGGACGGCTCCGCAGCAGCCGATGTGAATCCCCCCCACCCCCGGAGCCGGCTCCGTCCTGAGGCAGCTTCCTCTCCCCACGGTTCCTCCGCGCCCTCCACCTCCGGGTGATGCCCTTGCGCTGCTCCCCCCAGCCCAGCCCTCGGAGGGGGGGGTCAGGGTCCCGGCTCCCCGCGGTCACGCTGCGAGCGCGGCTGCAGGGCTCGGAGGCTGCAAACCTCAGAGGAAGGGGGGGTTCGGGGGGGGGGGGGGGGGGGTGCTTTCTCTTTGAGGCTCACTTCGGGAAGAGAAACAGTTTGTAACGTTCGGACGGGTCCTACACCCTGACCGCAGGCCACAGCAGCAGGGTGCAGCCCATCGAGGAGCAGAGCCCAGTGCAAGGAGCCCTGCCACTGGGGATGCGGGAGCCAGTAGATGTGAGGGGCAACGGATGCAGAGCCAGGGCCCCGATTCTCACCTTTCCCTGGGGTAGCCATGGAGCATCGCACCCTCCTCCTCTTCGTCCCCCTCTTCCTCCCCTGTGGAGCCCAAGGTAAGTGTGGCCCTGCCGCAGGAGATGCAGTGAGTTGTGTCCAGCCTCTGCACCCCTGTGAGGCTGGGAAGTGCCTTGGGAGCCTGCTCTTGGGGCTGGCTGGGCTTTATTTCTCCTGCTGCTTGCAAGTGAATGGCTCATCATGGGGTCAGAGCAGTCACTTGGGCTCTTGGGTGAGAAATCAAACCCTACAGATAGGAGCTGGAAGGGAAAAGGCCTTTTGGAAGGGCTGAAAAGCTCATTAAGGCTTCAATTGGGGCAGGAAGAAGGAATTCTGGTTAAAACGTGGCCTTATTTTCTTTCAAGTATTGCACACCTAGGAAAAGCAACGCTCTGCTCATGAGGGTTTGGCTTGTAGGAGGAGGCCCAGGGCAGGCCTTTGGAAATGGGATTCCCTCTCTATGAGCCTTAAATGATAAATATATATAGGGAGAAAATACCCCCACGGGGCACCGTGCCTCCTTCTCAGTAGAAGGTAAAGTGCAGGCACAGGGTGCAAAGGAGGAACTGAAAGTGGTTTCCCAGCCTCTGCTTGGCCTCCCCCATGGCAGGGCTGAAGGCAGAGGATGTGAGAGGCTGTGAGCCCCAGATCATGGCGATGGGCAAAGCGGGGCTGTGCCCCCTCCCCGGACACACAGCATCTCCCAGTCCCTTGCTCACCCTCCTCTGCTTTAGGATGTTCTGGGGCGTTCATTTCATTTAGGGTTTTTTTGTATCTTGCCTCATGCCAGAGCTGTTGACATGCGGGGCTGCGAGCACAGAGGCTCATGAGAGAAAGGGTCCAGCAGGCAACGTTCCTGCTGCTTCCCAGGCTGGATCTGCGAGGAAGGAGCTGGGGGACAAAGGAAGGAGCAGATGCCGTGGTCAGAGGGGGTGCAACCGGCCCTGGTGAGGGCAGGGCAAAGGGTGCTGCAGGAGCAGGGTGCGGGCAGGCACAAGGAGCCTGGGATGGGCAGAGGAAGGGGAAGCCTGAGGTGGGGATGGGGACGGGCTCAACCCTCTCTGCTTTAGGACCCGTGCAGTGTGAGGAGCAAGCCGTGCCTGCCAACGGAGCGCTGGAGCTGCTGCCAAAGAAACCCCTGGGGGAATGGTCAAGAGTCAAGTGGAGAACGGGGGTGGACGCAGGGTCCTACCAGGTGATCCTGGTGGCTGAGAGGAGCAACGGCACCACCGTGTGCAAGAGCCCTTTCTGCGGGAGAGCAGTTTTCCAGGAGGAGCCCCTTTCCCTGCGGATCAGCCCGGTTCTCGCGGCAGACGCGGGGCTCTACGAGGCCGAGTTTGAGCAGGCAGGCGGCGGTGTCAGCCCGCGGTGCTTCCGCGTGTCGGTGTGGGGTGAGTGTCCGGCTCTCAGCCGCTGCGCCCCGCGTGCCCGCTCCCCTCTGAGCGCGTCCATCCCCGCAGAGCCCCTTGGGCCGCCCCATGTGGAGAGCCTCGTCCTGCCCGAGGCGCGGGGCTGGTGCAACCTCTCGCTGCTCTGCACGGCGCCCGGCGCCGGCCCCGTCTCCTGCAGCTGGTCCTGCAGCGGGGATGCCGACCCCATCGTGTGCTGAGCACCCTGCTCCAGTGGAAGGTGCCCCTGCCCGTGCCTTTAGATGAGCTTTAAGGTCCCTTCCATCCCAAAGCATTCCATGAATCCAGGATCGTTAACGTGAACGTTTCTCTCTCTGCAGGCGCTCCGATGTACGACTGCAGAGAGAGGGGGCTGCTCTTTCTGCTGGTGCTGCGCAACCGTGGCCATCACGCACGTCCTCATCCGGCCGCAGGGATCCCTTCCCTGCCGTGTCCCTGGCTCTTTGTGTGCTGGGTAGGATCCCCACAAAGTGGGAGCCTGCAAAGCAGTCACCAGCCCCTGCTCCACTTTATGCATCAGCTCCAGCCTCGAACACCTCAAGAAATGAGCTGCTTTAAGCCATGGAGAGCTGTTAACCCGCTTGAGCATAGATTAAGGACAAATACACTCTTTCTTCCCGTGATGTTCTGTATTTTGGGTTCTTGGACAAGTTCCGGGCTGTTTTACGGTGAGGACACAACAAACAGGCCAAGGGTTGATGATGCTCTCCTCCAACCACCTCAGGCTGGGCTTCTCCCTTGGGTTTTGGGCAAGCAGGGACAGGCTCCACCACCCTCCATCCTGCCAGACCCCCCGGGCTGGGATGGAGCCACCCTGTGATGGGATTGGGATGTGGGGACCCAGCCTGTGTTAATGCACCTTGGAATGTCACCCTCTCACTGCAGAGGTTTCTTCCCTCTCCCAAATACCCCAACTCTTCCTTTGGAGCACGAGGCAGAAGGAGCATCGTGTTATCTGTGCACAGCAACAGTTTGCTCGTCCCTTATCCAGCCCCAGCCAACAGATGCCACCTCCTTAGATCAGTGCGAGATGTCCATGAGCTCATCCTGAGAGTGCTTTTCCTATGAGCCAGGCTTTTCCTGGGACATCAGGGACGGACAAACCCAGCACAGCCCTGCTGGGGCTCGGTGTCCCCTGTCCCCACACTGTCCCCTGCCCAGCAGCATCACCGCAGTGCTGCTGGAAGAGAGCAAGAGACACGATGGGATGCTGGTGGCCTCTAATCCCATCGTGCCGCCGTCTGCTTCTGCCCTCCGATCCGCCCTGCTAATCTCCTTATGGTAAGCTCATTGCCTCTGAGGCGGTCCTGAGCCATTCCCAGGTTGGATGTCGGCAGGAAAACTGTGGCTGGGAACTGGGTGCTGCCTGGGAGGAGATGGGGACCCCACTTGCAGAACAGCCACCCCCAGCAGGGGCCGTTGGCTGGTTCTATGGGAAAACTGGTCCAACGGGTGGGGAAGGGGCAGATTCCCAGTAAAAATCTTGGGAAAAGGCCACGGCACTGGGAACAGAGAGGGATGGGATCAGCCCTGCGGGTTTCCTGCTAGATTGAAACCTTCTGTGTGCCCAAGGGATGCACAAGCCGATGGGTCCTGCTCCATCACCCATCTGCAACCAAGTGCTTCAGGGCCATCAGTGGGGGAAACTGAGGCACGGCCTGACCCCCATCACAAGCCTGGATGGAGGCGGCTGGAACAGCTCCGTCAGCTTTTCCCTCTGGATTCCACAGCCCCTTCCTCCCCCTCGCAGGCAGACGAGCAAAAACCTAATTAAGGCTACAAAGGGAAAAGCAGCATCTTGCAAGGCTGGAACCTCGGCGCCGGAGACGGGGCTGAGCCGATGAATCAGAGCTTTTGTCCAGGCTCCATTCCCCATGCAGGGAGCAATTTCCCTCCCGGAGACCTTCCCCGGGCTGGGAGAGCTGTGCCCAGGGAGCTGGATCCGCAGGAGAGGCTGGGAAACAAGAAAGGGAGACAGGAATGAAAGGGAAGCGTTAGCACATCGCGCAGGCAGCGTTGAGGAGGACGGGGAGACGCTGCCTCCCGCAAGCACCGCATTGCAGAGGGTGTTCTTATGCAGCGCATCATCCGCGGGTCCTCATCCCCCTGCCAGCAAAACTTGCTCCGGGAGAAGCACAGGGCGGCTGGGGGGGGGGGGTCACGGGGCTGTGCCGAGGCTGCTTCCCCACCTCTGGAATCCCTGCGGTGCTCGGGAATGCGGCCGGTGCGGCCAAACCACGGTTTGGGATGTGCAGGTGGGAGTGGGAAGGGGGTGGTCATCCCCGACGGGGTTTTCACCTGGATAACACCACTGGGGACCCCGGGGGGGACCCTTCCGAGCCCCCCCCCCCCCCCGCAAACAGGCACCTTTGTGAGTGCTTTTCTCTCGCAGCCCATCCCCGTGGCCTCCCGCCTGCACCTCAAGCATGGGAGGAGGAAAAACCTCAACTATGGAGAGCTCAAAATCACCTCAATTGAACCCAAAATGCTCTCCCAGGCCGGAGAGCGGCTCTGCCCGAGAGGTGGCAGCACCCGACCGCGCTCCGCGGCACCCGCGATGGGTCGGGCAATGGGGGGGCTCAGCCCGGCCCTTGGCTGGGGTCCCTTAACCACCACCACCCCAGCACCCATCCCGCAGGAGCTGAGCCCTGGAGCTGTGCCTTGGTTCCAAATCCCTTGGGGGAAGCAGTAAGTGGATGGGAAGCTTCTCTTTGGGATGGAATAGGGATGGAGGATGGGTCCTGTAGGTTCCCACCAAGAGCATCTTGGAGAGGGACTGAACCTCCCCACAGAAAATTCCCCTGTCCTGGGAATTCCGGGTCTCTGTTCCCAACGGGAAAAGTGCTGGGATGCCCAGGGGAAGGACACTGGCACCATCTCTGCCCACCCAGCATCTCAGTCCCACCCAGCAAGTGAGATCTGAACCCCCAGCTGCTGGTCCCACCACCTCCATTGGGATATTCATCATCTCCACAAGACAGAACCAGGGAATCCTGGACTGATTTGGCTTGGAAGGGACCTTAAAGCTCATCTAAAGCCATGGGCAGGGACAGTGGGAGCTGCCCCTTCCTCTTCTTCCTCAGCACGTCCTGTCACGCACCAGCTGCCACCACTTCCCCCATGGGGCCCGTCCCACCACCAGCCACCACTTCCCTCACCCACCAGCACGCACCGGCGGCCATCCTGGTGATAAACCTTGTGCAATCCCCTCTGCCAGCCCTGCCGGGGGGTTTCCTGCCGCCGTGGGACTCATCTCCATGGGTCGGGGACAGCAGCATCTGCTCAGCCCCACACATGCGGAGGGGACATGGCTGGAGCTGGGACCTCGCTTGTCTACTGTGTGCTGCTGGTGGCAGCCGAGGGTAAGGATGCTCTTGGGTCTGGGAGGCCGGGGCAGATGGGTTGGAGCATCCCAGCTGCACAGCGCCATCCCTAGGGATGCTTTGGGAGGGAGAAGACAGAGACCACCCTCACCATCTCCCCACCCCAACCATCCCCTTGCAGGTCTGTGTCTCTGCTGTGCCGTGGAGCTGCTGAAGGGGCTGAAGGGGCAGTCCTTGTCCTTCCCAGCCCTGCATCTCCTGTCCCATGATATCGTGCGGGTCACCTGGAGGACCAAAGGGACCCACATTGCTGAGGCCAAGCCCAGGGTGAGGATGTTCACCACTGATTTCCTGCCTGAGTTCCAGGACCGGCTGCTCATCCACCCCAACAGCCTCTCGCTGCAGATCAATCCGCTGCAGCCATCGGACAGTGGGAGCTACGAGGTGGTCGTGGACACCTTGTCTGACCCCACCAACCCAAAGACCTTTCGCTACTCCTTGTTGGTTCTTGGTGAGTCCAAGGATGGAGGGAGGAGGGTTGAGGGGACTGGGCTTGTGTTGGGTCCACCCCAGGCATAGAATCATAGAATCATGGAATGGTTTGGGTTGGACAAGGTCTTAAGATCATTCAGCTCCAACCCCTGCCACAGGGAGGGACCCCTTCCACTGGAGCAGGATGCTCCAAGCCCCATCCAACCAGACCCTGAACACTGCCAGGGATGGGGCAGCCACAGCTTCTCCATTCAACCCATTCCAGTGTCCCACCACCCTCACAGGGAAGAACTTCCCCACCCTCCAACCTAAATCCCCCCTGTTCCAGTCTGAACCCATCACCCCTTGTCCTGTCGCCCCAGTCCCTGATGAAGGCCCCTCTCCAGCATCCTTGTAGCCCCCTTCAGACACTGGAAGCTGCTCTGAGCTCTCCACGCAGCTTCTCTTCTCCAGGCTGAGCAGCCCCAACGTTCCCAGCCTGGCTCCTATGGGAGCTGCTCCAGCCCCTGCTCATCCTCGTGGCCTCCTCTGCACTTGCTCCAGCAGCTCCATGTCCTTGTGCTGAGGACACCAGAGCTGCACCCAGTGCTGCAGGGGGGTCTCCCAGAGCGGAGCAGAGCAGAGGGGCAGGATCCCCTCCCTGCCCTGCTGCTCACCTCCTGTTGATGCTGCCCAGCACAGGGGGGTTCTGGGCTCCAGCTCCCACTGTAGCCAGGTTATGGGAGGCTTCTCATGGACCAAGACCCCCAAGTCCTCCTCCTCAGGCTGCTCTGCATCACTTCTCTCCCAGCCTGCAGCAGGGGATGAGCTGTCATCACACGAGCTCCCTGCTCATGAGCCCACCCAGCCCTCAGCGTTTCCCCTTGGCCGTGTGGAGGAGCTCAGGATGGGCATGTGGTCAGTGGGGAAATCCCCCTTCCTCTTTCAATGACTGCTGCACCCACTGCACCCATTGCACCCATTGCACCCATTGCACCCACGGCACCCACTGCACCAGCCCTGGTGGTACCCAAGGGCAGCCCCCTGTCCCCTGCCACAGCCCCATGGCTCACACCATGCCCTGTGCCCACAGATGGATCTCCAGTGCCGATGCCCGGGACTGGCGACACCAAAGGATCCATCAGGAGCACAGTGGATCCCCATGGACCACCAGTGCTTGGGGCTGGTGACACCAAAGGAGCCATTGAGAGCACAGTGGATCCCCATGGAGCATTGGTGCCCAGGACTGGTGTCACCAAAGGACCCACTGGGAGCAGAGTGGATCCCCATGGAGCATCGGAGCCCGGTGCTGGGGACACTGGGACGCAGGACACGGGTGGGAGGCATCATCCAGGGTCCTGCGGGGCTCAGGACCGCTACTGCCTGCTGAAGGGGTATCTCATGGCCGGGGTCTTTGTGCCGCTGGCGCTGCTGGTGGCCGCTGTCCACATCATGACCAGGGACAAAGGCACCAAGGCAGGGAACGGGGTCTTAGCAGGGGTTGAGCCCCCCAGCATCACCACTCCTCAGGGACCATCCCCATGGCAGCGACCAGCCTGGATTCCAGACCCCGGGAACAGCGTCCCCTCTGCCTCGGTTTCCCCATTCAGGGCAAGATGAGGTTACCCTGCTCAGAGCCCCTGGAGGACGTGATGTGAACCCGGCTTCCTCATCTCTTGCACAAGGAGCTGCTCTAAATGCGTCAACGCTTCTTCCTCCCAAAGCCACCAGCCCTTTGGCACCAAAACCCATCCCAGCACCAAGCAAGGGGATGCAGGGACGCCGCCGTCACTGGAGGCAGCATCAGGTTCCTATTTCCAGCCCCAAACGTGGGGGAGATCATCACTCAGACCCCCTCCTGTAGTTGATAGGAGGTGAATGATTCACTGGTGACCCTGACTAAACGCTGCGTGCCATCCATTATTGAGCAGCAGATCTGTCAAGAAGTTCTCATAAATAAGTGATCTGGTGCTGTCTTAATGCTGGCAGTAAATTCCTCATTCAATCTCCCGACTAAATGCTCTCCTGGGGACATCGCTCCTGCTGTTGAGTTAGGAATTAGGCCTGGGAACACACGGACTGTGAGGAAGAAGAGCCCTAACAGGACACCTGAGGGTGTCCTTCGCTGTCATGGCCCATCCTGAGAGCATCCCTGGTGCTGCCCTGTCCTGGGTACCAGCCGGGATGGAGCCTGGTCTGCCCCAAGCACTGGGCACGGGGCTGTCCCCATCCTGGGATGCTCAGTACCCTCCTTCCAGCCGGGCAGTGATCCCGGGTCCCTGCACTGATCCCAGGGTCCCACAACGACGCCGGGATCAGGCAAGAATCCCAGGGTCCTGCAGCAACAGCAAGGTCCCAAAGTGATCCCAGGGTCCTGCAGTGATCCCAGGGTCCCGCAGTGATCCCAGCGTCCTGCAGTGATCCCAGGGTCCTGCAGTGATCCTGAGGTCCTGCAGTGATCCCAGGGTCCCGCAGCAATCCCAGGGTCATGGCGTAGCCATCCCATGGTAACTGCAGCTTCTTCCAATGGATCTCTGCCTCTTACTCCAGGAGCAGAGCTGATTCAAATGGTACGTTAAAGCAGGGCTCGACCTCACGGGGTGATGGGAAGGGGAAGTGCCATGAAACCATTCCCAGCGGATGCTGGATTTGAGGAGGGGAGGCAGGAGGAAGGGAAACCCGTGTGCAAGAGACGGGGGTTAACGTGGGACTGAGGTGCTGCAGTTACCCATAGGGGGACAATGGGATCTGCCCCCATGGAGGGGATGGGGACGGGTCTCGCTGGGGATGCTCCAGCAGCATCGAAGATCCCCTGGCTTCTCCTCTGGGTCCCGCTTGCCCATCACCGCTGCGTCTGGCCTGCTCCACTGGTGGCTTTAATAATTGAGTGGTGGTTGAGGGGGACAATGATGTAAACAAGAGCAGTTTAACCCCCAGTGATGGCTTTACCAGCACCTCTCTCCTAGATGGGGCTGGACCAGGTGAATCCCTGGGGACAGCGCCATCCCTACAGCATCCATCTCCCTTCTCACCCCGTCTCCTTTATCCCTGTGACTTTGACCCGCTTGTGAAATCTCTTTCCAAGCAGCCAAGGACTTACTGGCTGGGGGAAGGAGGCCGGAGTGAAGAGAAGCTGCTTTTCCATAGGAAATTGAGTTTCCTGCAGCTCTCTGCAAATCCCCCTCGGCTGCACATCAGGAGCTGGGAGCACAGGGGATCACAGGGATGGAGGGGGCACCAGTGGGAGCCACGGGTGCTGGTCAAAGGGAAGAAGGAATGAGAATCCTAAAGAGAGATCCCATGGGGCTGGGAACAGACTTTTCCTGCCTGGCCACTGATTTCAGTGGGGATTCATCCACTTTTCCTTGCCAAGGAGCTTCTCAGGAGCCAAAACACACCTCACGTTACTGTTGTGCTCCCTGGTGTTGTGCCCTGGCAAGCGGGAAGTGAAACCCCATCCCCTCCATCCCTTCTCCATTGCTTCCCCTCCATCCCTTCTCCTCCATCCCTTCCTCACCATCCCTTCCCCTCCATCCTTTCTCCTCCATCCCAACCCCTCCGCTATTCCTTCTCCTGCATCCCTTCTCCATCCTTTCCTCACCATCCCTTCCCCTCCATCCTTTCTCCTCCATCCCAACCCCTCCACTATTCCTTCTCCTGCATCCCTTCTCCATCCTTTCCTCACCATCCCTTCCCCCCCATCCTTTCTCCTCCATCCCAACCCCTCCACTATCCCATCCCCTGCATCCCTTCTCCATCACTTCCCCTCTATCCCTTCCCCTCCACCCTTCTTCTCCATCCCAATCCCGCCATCCCTTCCTCTTCATCCCTTCCTCTCCAACCCTTCCTCTCCATCTCTTCCTCTCCAACCCTTCCCCTCCATCCCAACCCCTCTATCCCTTCCCCTCCATCCCTTCCCCTTCATCCCTTCTCCATCCCTTCCCCTCCATTCCAACCCCTCTATCCCTTCCCCTCCATCCCTTCCCCTCCATCCCTTCCCCTGCATCCCTTCTCCATCACTTCCCCTCCATCCCTTCCCCTCTATCCTTCTCCATCCCAATCCCACCATCCCTTCCTCTTCATCCCTTCCTCTCCAACCCTTCCCCTCCGTCCCAACCCCTCCATCCCTTCCCCTTCATCCCTTCTCCATCCCTTCCCCTCTATCCCTTCCCCTCCATCCCTTCCCCTCCATCCCACCTCCACCACCATGGGACCATGGGGCACTGCACCACCCTGGGGCCCCCCGGCTGCGGATCAGGGCCGGATAACAAGCAGCTTCCTTGGCCATTCTGCTCCAGCACCTCGCTGGGAATGAGGGAAAGCGAGCGGCTGCCTCCAAATGGATTCTGGAAGCTGCTCGGAGCCATCAGGCTCCGTATAAATATGATGATGATTGTTATTATCATTGGCACCGATGGGCCGCCGCGCACCGCGGGAGATCCCGCTCTGCCTCCCGACGCAGCCACTGCCAGAGCCATTCCCAGCTCCACACAGGGCTGGGACCCCCCCCGCAGCTCCCGCTGAGCCCATGGGCACGCTGGGTCCCCTCCCGGGGCTGGGGTAGCCGGTGAGGATGGGTTTGCTCCATGTGCCCCGATGCCAGGGTGATGGGCCTGATGCTGGGCACCGGGGGGGGGGGGGTGTGTGTGTGCCCCCCAGGCCACTATGGGCTTATGGGGGTCCCGCACTGCTGCTCCCCCTCATCCCAGGGAGTGCTCCCGAGCAGCCAACGTGGCAGCTTTTCCTTCCCTGCCGTCAGCACATTCCCGGCCACCGCCACTCCTCCCTGACCTCTCTCCTCTTCCTCCCTGCTCCACAAACTCCTTCATCCTCCTCCCCACGTCATCTCCTCTCCCACTCAGATTCCTCCCTGTATCCCAGGAGAGCCCTCAGTGCCAAGGGGACAGTCGGCCAATGCCCGGGAATGGCAGGGCCACGCTGTCCCCATGGACACCTCCCATGTCCCCCCCATCCCGTGCCGATCCGGACACAACCTGTGTCACCCCAGAGCCATCTCTTTATTGCCATCACCCATCTCGGCTCCTGCAGCCACCACGATGGCTCCTGCTGCCCTCGGGGCTGGGCCAGGCTGGGTTTGGGGGTCCCCAGCTCCATCCGATTCCATGGCATTCCCCCTGCGAGCAGCAGGTCCCTGAGGAAAGCTGGAGGATGGAAGACCCCAAGGAAGAGGAGGGAGCTGAGGGCCACTTCGCGCATCACCCCTGGGGTGCAGGGGACACCCATAGCCATTGGGACAGGGCGCAGCACCCCGGGGTGCTCCCCGTGGCCGGGGGGGGGGGGGGGGGGGGGCTCTAGAAGAGCCTTTTAGAGCTGAAAACGTGGAGCCCCTGCTGCCACATGGAGGAGAGAAGGCTCCTGAAGGGGAGACCTCAGAGCAGCTCCAGTGCCTGAAGGGGCTGCAGGAAACCTGGAGAGGGGCTTGGGACAAGGGATGCAGGGACAGGCCAAGGGGAATGGCTTTAACCTGCCCGAGGGGAGACTGAGATGAGCTCTTAGGCAGAAGCTCTTCCCTGTGAGGGTGCTGAGGCGCTGGCACAGGGTGCCCAGAGAAGCTGTGGCTGCCCCATCCCTGGCAGTGCTCAAGGCCAGGTTGGACACAGGGGTTGGAGCATCCTGCTCCAGTGGAAGGGGTCCCTGCCTGTGGGGCTGGATGAGCCCTAAGGTCCCTCCCACCCCGGTGGATGCACACCCCGACATTGATGTAAGCACCCCAGCAATCACACACACACACGCAGGTGCGCACCCCAACACACACGTGTAAACCCCAGCACCCATGTACCCATACGACAGGCATATACACACCCCAAGACACGTGTGATCCACCCAGGTATGAGCCGCAGCACACATGCATGCACCCCAACACATGTATGAAACCTGCACACATGTATGCACTCCAACACACGTGTATGAACCCCAACACACCTGCGCGCACCCCAACACACGTGTATGAACCCCAACACACGTGTATGTACCCCAACACACCTGTGCACACCCCAACACACGTGTATGAACCCCAACACACCTGCGCGCACCCCAACACACATGCATGCACCCCAACACACATGTACGTGTCCGAACACACATGTACATGTCCGAACACACATGCATGCACCCCAGCACACATGTATGTGTCCGAACACACATGTACATGTCCGAACACACATGCATGCACCCCAGCACACATGTACGTGTCCGAACACACATGTACATGTCCGAACACACATGCATGCACCCCAACACACATGTACGTGTCCGAACACACATGTACATGTCCGAACACACATGTACATGTCCGAACACACATGCATGCACCCCAACACACATGTACGTGTCCGAACACACATGTACGTGTCCGAACACACATGTACATGTCCGAACACACATGCATGCACCCGAACACACATGTACATGTCCGAACACACATGTACATGTCCGAACACACATGCATGCACCCCAGCACACATGTACGTGTCCGAACACACATGTACATGTCCGAACACACATGCATGCACCCCAACACACATGTACGTGTCCGAACACACATGTACATGTCCGAACACACATGTACATGTCCGAACACACATGTACATGTCCGAACA